GGGGGGCAGCTGCAGCATCGGCGCCTCGGGCTGTGTTGCTGCTGCATCGAAGCCAACGCGTTGCTGCTGCCGGCAGGAGGAGCAGCAGCAGCAGCTGCTGCTGCTGCTCCTGCTGCTGCTGTTCTTGCCGCAGCAGCAGCTGCAGGAGCCGCTGTCGTCACTCTGGCAGCAGCAGCAGCAGCAGCAGCAACTGCTGCGGCTGCTGCTGCTGCTGCTGCTGCAGGCTGCGCTGCATCCTTCAGAAAAAGGAGAGAAGTCGCTGCCGTCGCATGTGCTGCAGTTGCTGCTGCGGGTGCTGCTGTCTCCCCGCTGCTGCTGGTTGCTGCTGCTGATGCTGCTGCTGCTGCTGCGGCTGCTGCTGCAGCTGCTTCGACGCTTCCTCCTCCTCACCAGCAGGCAGCCCTTGAGCCCGCTGCTGCTGCTGCTGCTGCTGCGCACGATAGCTTTTCTTCTGCTGCTGCAGCAGCTGCTGCTGCTGCAGTTCCTGCTGCTGCTGCTGGTCCTCCTCTTGCTGCTCCTGCTGCTTCTCCTGCCGCAACACTTCGCTGCAGATGACGCACCAGAGAGCTGTCCTGCTGCGGCTGCTGCTGCTGCTGCTGCTGCTGCTGCTGCTGCTGCAACAGCAGGTGTAGCAGCAGCAGCAGCAGGTCTGCAAGGGAGGCTTCTAAGGCGGTAGCCGTTTATATTCATTGGCAGGCAGAGTAGCAGCTGCTGTTGCTGCTGCTGCTGCCGCTGCTGCTGCTGCTGCTGCTGGTGTTGTTGCTGCTGTTGCTGCTGTTGCTGCTGCAGTTGCTGCTGCTGCTATGGCACGCAGAGCGCCACTGATCGAGCTGCTGCTCCGGGCCATCTAACAGCAACGCAGCAGCAACCAGGCCGCTGCTGCGTTGTTTGCTGCTGCTGCAGCTGCTGCTGCTGCTGCTGCTGCTGCTGTTGCTGCAGCAGATCTTACTGATCTTACTGCTGCTGCTCCTGGGTGATGTGAGCGCCGCGTACTGCTGCTGCTGTTGCTGCTGCTGCCGGTCTTGCTTCAGCAGCTGCCTCTGCTGCTGGTATTTGCTGTTGCTGCTGCTGCTGCTGCTGCTGCTGCTGCTGCTGAAGCAAACAGATGCAGCAGAATGACATATAGTTAAATCCCTTTAAAAATCTATGGCTTTTGCTGCTGCTGCTGGCTGCTGCACACCATCAAGCCTTGCTGCTGCTGCTGCTGCTGCTGCTGCTGCTGCTCAGGGTGCTGCTGCTGCTCTCCTGCCGCAGCCCCGATCACTCTACAGCAGCAGCAGCCGCAACAACAACACCTGCTGCTGCTGCTGCTGCTCTTGCTGCTGTTGCTGCTGGTTTTATCCTCTTCGTTCTAACTATTAAATTATATTACGCAAAATAAAACAAAAAGAAAACAAAAAAGAAAGAAGAAAACACCGCCACTAACTCTATAAGCGATCGCTTACCCCAGCTACTGCAGCAGCAGCAGCAGCTGCTGCTGCAGCAGCAGCTGCTGCTGCTGCTGCTGTTGCTGCTCCTGCTGCTGCATGAGCTGCTGCTGCTGCAGTGGGGCTTGTGTGCACTGTATCTGTTTATAAGAAAATAAAATTAGTTTCTTTCGTCTCCACTATATAATAGAGAATATATAAGGTATAAACCCACTTGCTGCTGTTGTTGCTGCTGCTGCTGCTGTTGCTGCTGCTGCTGCTGCTGATGCTGCTGCTGCTCTTGCTGCGCTGCATGCACTGGGTTTTGTCTGTGTAGCTGTCGTGTGTTTACAAGAGATAATAGGGTGTTGATACCACCACAACTTGCTGCTGCTGCTGCTGCTGCTGCTGTTGCTGCTGTTGCTGCTGCTGCAGGTGTGCGTGCATCTAGGGCAGCACTCTCCTCCTGGTTGCTGCTGCTGCTACCGCCACTTGCTGCAGCTCTCGTGAGCCTGTGCTGCTGCTGCTGCTGCTGCAGCTGCAGCTACGGATGCTGTGTGTGGGGCCTCGGCCGTGTTGTGGGTTGCCTCGTAAGCCGCTTCTGCTGCAGCACCTGCTGCTGCTGTTGCTGCTGCTGCTGCTGCTGCTGCTGCAGTTGATGTCCATTGGAGTGTATTGCTTCAGACGCAGCCACTTCTCCTTCTGCCCTCCTCTCCTGAGGCAGCAAATACAGCTGCAGCAGCAGCAACAGCAGCAGCAGCAGCAGCAGCAGCAGCAGCAGCAACTGCATCTGCATAGCCGTTCGCTGCTCGTGCCTAGGCAGCTTCTCCACTTGAGCCGCAGCAGCAGCAGCAGCAGCAGCATCAGCAGCAGCAGCAGCAAATCAATATTCCGCTACCGTGAACTAGCAACAGCAGCAACAGCAGCAGCAACAGCAGCAGCAGCAGCAGCAGCAGCAGCAAACTCAGGTGTATCGACAGGTCGCAGCTGGCTGAGCAGAATGAAGCGCGAGGATCCGTCCGTCTCCCCTTCTTCTGCTGAAGACCAGCAGCAGCAACAGCAGCAGCAGCAGCAGCAGCAGCAGCAGCAGCAGCAGCAGCAGCAGCAGGATTTGTCCCCTGAAGACAAAGAACTAAAGGCGCAGCGTGAGGCCCGTAAGAAAGCAAAGGAAGCAGAAAAAGCAGCAAAAGAAGCAGCAAAGCAAGCCAGAAAAAAAGCACAGGGTAAACCCTAAACCCCAAACCCTAAACCCTAAACCCCAAACCCTAAACCCTAAACCCTAAACCCTAATTACACTAATTATAGTAATTATACTAATTATACTAAAACATCAGCTAAACCCTAAACCCTAATTAAACAAAAATACAGGCAAAAAAACACTCATTAAACAAAGAAACAAGGCAAACCCTAAACCCTAATTCAGCCCCCAAATATATATATATATATATATATATATATATATATATATATATATATATA